CCTTGTTTGCCATTTCCATGAGATCCGAAACGTGGAGTCGACAACCTCAATTCGTACAGGAATGTCAATGGAATTGATAAAGATGAAGATATCCAACGAGGCCGAAAGCATTTTAAGTCATTTGAATGATCATAACCCGCCAAAGCCACCACAGCGGAAGAAACGACTGAGGAAAAAACTTTATAAATATCCCTGCAGTGTGAGTATGCAGCTTTCAATGTTATGCACTAGACGGGGTCAGGAGGAGGGGTTAAGAAAGGTTTGGGGATTTTGATATTTTCTGTCCAAATAATTTTCAAATATGCCACCCCAGTCTGGACACCGAAATTGGTAAAAAATATCAAAATCCCTACACTGGGGTAAGTGAGTGTGGTCATTTATAACGAAGTGCCAAAATTCCCCATGCACCCCGGGGACATTACAAAAAATCAAAATACCTACCTTGGGGACTGCCCTCATAGTCAAATTTCCATGGCTAGTCAGACACCCCTCTTCTTCTTGGGCTTTATGTTGAAAGGTGCATTGAGAAAATGCCAATTAACTGAGAGAGGATGAGCTAAGCTTGCCATTGTATGAAGCATGAAATATAAAATTTTAGGTCAACTCCACTATCTGGTTCATAAAGTAATCCTACATATAATCTACACCTATATAGAATGAATGTAGCACTATGATTTATAAATGTAAACAAAAGACACCCATCTTAGTACTCAAAAGGATTCAAACCCTGGAGGTGGTGGTGTCTGTACAGTGGTGTGAGAATGACATCTAGAACTACCTTTAAGATGTTGATATTGGCCCATTTGTTCATACGATAAGAAAATACTTTTTAAAATTATTGGACAACGGTGAGCAAAACAATGTGCAGATCAATTTACCAAAGCGAAAGGCAGACTAGCATGGGTAAGGCATGAGTAACTGATCTGCAAGACACTAATATATCATGACATTTTGTGATAAATTAGTGCATTCTGGTGCATTCTTGCATGTGTTTTATGATTGCATAACTGTTTCCCCTTCTTTTGGATCATTGGCCCCTTTGCAGCTAGTTAGCCTTCACATGACCCCCTTCTTAATGTTAAGAAACATAAAAGGCCTAATGTAAAGTCACTGAGTGGAGAGTGTGCCATTTTCTCCAGCACCATGACTTCACATTTCCAAACAAATAATTTTAAATCTCTGAAGTTTAGAAACCTAATTAGTGATCATGTAAAAGGACCTCTTGTTGCAGCGTTTAGATCACCCCTGATGAAGGCACTAGACAGGAGTGTAGAAACGTTGGGTCTATGAATCGTAACTTCTTCAGTTAAATTCATTAAATCTGCAAACCAGAGTAGCGTCAAACTATGTCCGTTTAGAAACCTGTTAAGCATTATTCCTATATTCCAACCCAGCCTATTTTAATTTTCTTTTGACTAATTTTCATCGGCTCTTTCAGCCTAAGACAGTTTTTTAGAATTGTATCCCATAATATCTCACCACCCTTATCCAACCACCATACAGTACAGTTGGCGCAGTTGGTGGAGTATAGGCTAGACTACAGTGCATGTGGGAAATTTCATGTTGGAAACCCAGGCTAAAAAACTCACCAGGGTATTAAAATAACTGAAAAACATGTTGTACTTCTGCATATACTGGTTAGATGTTCTATTCTTTTCTGATAATGGTGGGTCAAATGACTCTGAAAACTCTGGGAAACAATCTGCAGCATTGCTGGAATATTTATGAGCACAGCTGTGTATGGGCATCTGGAATGTTATTTGCACAAAACAATGTTACATATGAATAAATCATTCTTTGTAGAGAGATATTTGCTGATGCTTGGCCTATCTAAATGATGATCTCAACTAACTGTCATTTTGCAATAACAAGCTAAGCAGTCATGATGATCCAAAATGAAATATTCACATATCTATTTTTCTATCATTTTATTTCCAGATTTGCCAGAAAGAATACAATAATCTTTCCAACCATTTGAAACATGCACATAAGCTGAGTAAGAGTGAAGTTGAGGAGCTAAAGAGTGAAAAGAATCAGGGAAAGGCCAAAGGAAATCAGGAAAATAGGTATTTTATTACATTTCTTATTGTTCAGTTCTGTTTTTCAGAGGATTGTGTTCATTGTAGTTACATAGATGAGTGTTTTCTCTACTGTACACAGCATTCTTGACTTTTTTCAATTCATGCTCATTTTGACACATTGCATTTTTCCTATATTTTCAGCAAAACCAAGAGGCCCATTAGATGTTGTCCACTACAGGGATGTACCTGGGTTGGACGACGCTTTGATTACCACCTACCAAAAGTACACAATATTGGCAAAGATTCTGAAAAGTACTTATCATTAGTACACAAAAATGGCAAAATGTAATGTTTCTGGTTTTCTTTGTACAATCAAGCTTCTACAAGTGGTCTTTGTTAGAAAGTATGACATGCATGTAGCCTATTGTAATAGGTAATAAAAGTACTTTATACTGGATTTTGTATTCATTTGTAGACACACCACTTGGACCACTGAAAATGATCAACAAATTAGCAAACAAACTTCTAGGCTAATCATTATCTATTAAGTTTGATAATAGTAACAATTTAAGAACTACAATTTAGGATTCTCTGTATGTCAGCTGGCTATAAAATTGGCTTTCCAACAGGTTCTTAGAAAAGGTATATTAAATTGAAAAGTACATATTGTTAAATTTTAAATAATAGTGCTACTTCTTAAGGCAGCAAATATTGCATTGTTAAATACTTCAGGTATATTAAAATACTGGTCATCTGAAATTTCCATCCCCTGCAAAAAATATAATGGTCCATAGGGTCCATTTTTGATCAAGTTGGCAATAGTAACATAATCCTGATGATTGTTCAGTAATTTGTAGTTGGATTGGCCTTGTAAGTCAAGCCAATACCCTTTTATCTTGTAAGTAAATGAAGCTTTGACTAGTTTTGATGGATTCTGGATAGTGTAGAAAAGCCAGAATTTCTCATCTTCTGACTCAGTAAACACTGGGACAATAAGCCCTTGTGCTTCTGTGGAGTGTTGAATATTAGCACCAACAGCAAGCCATGCATCATCTTCAAAATAAAAACTATATTCATTTAATCTTAGTCTCTCTTCCTGGTCAAGTCTCAACTCCACAACCTCCACATCTTGTTCTTTAATCTTGTCAGACAGTCTAACTACCCTTTCTGCACATTGTCTGTCCACTATCCTGGACAGAAGAGTGACTACTGTTTCAGGCTGAGTTGGAGAGGGAATAAAATCCCTGTTGCTTTGCAAGTTTACATTTGCATTACTGGTAATCACGAATTTAATTTCGCTTTTTTTCTCCATTATAGCCTGGAGTTGTTTAGTGCCATAATGGAAGGGTTTCTTAAAGAAAATGCCATCTGGGAGATTTTCTACTGTAAAACCCCCACGTAGATACGGCACCCTGCTGCCTGGTTTCTTTATTGCTTCACCTATTGTGCAAGAGAAAGAGAAACATTGATTGGTAATGATAATAGCACTGAGTGGAGTACAATTCAGGAAGTAATTGGGCAAGTAATGAGCCTGATAACCCCTGAAATGTATGACAGTAAGTCTTATGGACCATTTCCACATGTCCCATATGACACTTTCTTTGCCAAAATGTGAGACACAAGGTAAGAATAAGTAATTCAATTTCATTAGCTAGTGGCATTTTCTACTGGATTTTTATTGGCTGCATAATTGTCAGATTTGACCTGTCCAGTTAAAAGCAGCTGTAATCACACAGGCCAAATTGGACAGTTTTCTTATTACAGTATTCAGATTAAGGATCAAATATTCGCTGTTCAGAACCAATCAGGTTTGAGGATTTTGTTATAGACATCATCAGCTTTGTTGTTATTATCATAGCTAATAATAATAATGATGATGATGATGATGATGACGATGATGATGACAACAATTACATGTTAACATCTGTACTATAGTGAATAATATGTATATTCTTAAACTTACTGTATTTGGAATTGAATAGCTGTTGTACATCTTTGTATGTGTACCTCTCATTGGTGCAAGCTAAATAAATAAATACAGAGGTACTATGTAGTTTCAGGTCTATTTTGATGATGTATTCACCTTATTTACAATCATGAATAATCTCGTCAATTGGATGACACACTTTATAGTATAAGCTATATAAACATCTGCTAATACAGTTGCATGCCAACAAATCAATAGAACACTTTCAATGTTTATAATATTACTAATTCAAAGTAATAATATATACCAAAGTGGTCTCGGAATTTGATGTTGATGTCAGGATTCAGGCATAAGAAAGAGAAACCTGCACTTGATCCAAAGTTGTACACTTGGCCTGAAGTGTCTTGAAAAATCAGAGAAGATTCACAGCCTAAGTCTTCTAGAAACATGATCTGAAGCAGATGAAAAAGTAAAATGTGGCACGAGGATTACTCAAAAGGACACAAACATCTGCATGTTGCATTAATTCCCACAGAGTACGATAATTAGAAATTACTCATCCACTTTTAATAAAGTTTTAAGTTATTCTGAATTTGCATGGTTTATGCTACCTAATTGGAATTGAGCTTGGCTGGAGATTATTTCATAAAGTGATTGAAACCTTTACCTCATTTAGAAGATTTTTCCTGTGAACTGACATCAATTTAGATTTTTGAGCCTCACTTAGCTCTGAAACATCAGGGGCCTTTAAACTTTCTGCTTTTCCTTTGAACGCATCTTTTTCTGCAGATGTCATGTCACGCCATTTCTTGGCAGCTTCTTCGTTCTTTTGAGCCAAGGACAATTTCTTGCACTCATCTAGCAAAAAAAAATTAAAGCTTTCATTTCCACTGAATATCAATTCAATTGGTTTGATTATTACAATGTCACTGCATGATTTTCAGTTTCCTCGGCAATCAAAGATATTGCATCAACTAAAAATGAAAATAAATTAATCAACAACTCTATTATGGTGTCAAAGGTTAAAAGTAGCTGAGGATGAAAACCCTTTTGGGTTGCAATATAGAGCTCTGTCAGACCCCTACCCCTGCAAGTACCCCCTGGGGTTTAGACACAGTTTAACAAGACCACTGTCCATTATTGATTTAAATCTGGTATCCTGGCACCAAAATAAAATAAATGTCCAGCAGGCACAGTTAGCAGAGAAAACCACAATATTCATTTCTTAGAAATAATAGACTAGTAGAGGTTTATTAATGATACCCATAGGCGTATGGGCACCTTTGGACTTTGAAAATTTTTTAAACTAGGGGGGGGGGGATTTGCACACCCATGCCCCAGGAATGTACACCTCTAATGTTATCCTATATTTTAGCCATGGTCTATAATAGTTATAATGCATGTAAATAATCTGTCCTTAGTGTTTGAAAACATTATCAGGGTTCTCACCTGACTTGAAATACTCTGAACAGAACATGTTGTAGGAGTATGAGCCACGTGAACCAGTTGGGATCTTAATTGGCTTTGGAGCTGCTTGTACTCCAGAATTTATCTTTTCCTTTTGTCTGGCATTTCCAATCCATTTCTACATAAATGTACCACATTAAAATAAAGTATTTCAAAATGCCTTAAGCTACAATAGAAACCCTTCCCTTTTTGCTCTCTTTCACTGGCTGGCCCTATAGAGGCCCAGCCAGGGTAAATTCCTACAGGGGACATGGTCCAAAAAGTAGCTGTGGCATATATATGAAAGTATGAAAAAATTAAGATCTTGTTCACCAAAATTCTGACAACAACAACAAGGTGGAGAAATAAAGACAAAATAATAATAACAGTAGGTTTTTAAATTCAGACAAGCAACACAGGGAACCCCCTGGCAGGGCCTGACCCTATAATACCCATGCAAGCTGCTCACAGAAACTCTGAGCTTGTATACAGAGCAAATTTTCAATCCAGTACAGAATGATTGGCTGGCAACAAATCAATAAAGGTAGATCTTCTTGGTATGTACATGTATGTCGAATGGATGATGTGATTATAACATTTAACAGCTCTAGATTGAGGATACCTAAACTTCGAACCAGGATTCGATCGTTAGCTATGGGTTACCTATTATTAACACTTTGGTTAGCCTACTTTTCAGCCCCAATTAGCCAAACTTGTACTCTGGTTAGCCTCAGAGTACTCAGGTTGGCCTAACTAGCTCTTCTGTTGGCCTACAGAGCACTCGGGTTAGCCCACTTTTAACTAAGGTTGCTTGCGGTTAGCTCTCAATATTTGTAATGGTAACACAATATATATTCTTAATTTTATAACAACGGATGAGTAAACACATATCTTCTTTTACTGGCATATTCTTGATCATTGATTATGCTGCACACTGCAAGCGTATTTTCGAGCATAAAACTGCATAAAGCAATTATTTTCAAAAAAAAAAGTAAGCCTACTTTAATTAACGAGGGAAATAATTACCACAAGGCCTCATTATGAATAGTACAATCGTACAGTTAACTTCCTTGACCTCGGTATATGACGGATGAAATTCTGTTTAAGAATCAATCCTTTAAAAAGATTCGTTTATGCAGCACACAGAGTAAGGGAATTAATTCTATAGGACAATATACCGCTACATCATTTACATATGTCGGTGTGCTTTGAAGAAAGAAGCACTCACCATAATGATCGCTATTATTATTCAACGAGATGCAAATAAGTGGCGGGGTATTCCACATACATGAAACATGGTAGTGTTTCAGTCCAACTAAAAAATATCTTACCTTTACTTGATCAATAGTCAGCCCAGTTTCCTCGGCTGCCACTCCAATTTTTTCCGTACTATCAGAACCGCATGTTTTCATGCCGCCGTCATAATATTCTTGTAGTTTTGACCTTTGTACATCGCTTATTTTATTATATGTTCTTTTGCGAACTCTACTTGTATCCTTGTCGGTCATAGTAACGAAGAAGCGCCAAAAGTGCACGACAAAGCCGATAATACCTGAACTTCCAAACCAAGAAAAGCTAGCGAGTTCGTAACTATTCCAATCGGTAAAGGTTCCCCCCTACGCATCCGAAGTGAACGGAGTTGATTGGTCGAAATGTTTATGCATATTTAATGAGCTACTGGGAAGACTTAGATGATCATTTGCGACAGCTTGAACCCAATGATCTAAATTTAGATTATATGGGTGTTAGCCATTTAGATTGTGTAAGTAGGGTGTCTGTAAACAGGTCAAATTTAAGAATTCTGAAGAAGGCAAAATGGGGGTGTGATATTCGAATGTCCTTTCCTAATGGCATCTACTCAAATTTACCCAAACAGCAAGGCACGCTCGTTTGAGATCGGCAGAGCATCTACTGCCGGCAGTTTGACTTTGAAGAGTGAGAATCAACAATTCTCTTAATTCTTGCCATAATAATCATGCATTTATAACTGTATTGGGCAAAAGCCCTTACAGCAGCACTGAATTTTGACTTCGGATGATTTCATGCTCTTTCATAACAAAATGATCTCTCGGTCAAATTTTTGCTCAAAACGAAAACATCACTGCATTTTCAAAACTTACTCTAAACTAATTGTAGCACAGAATATCCTGGTCATATGAATAGCAAAGAGTAGCTCTCTCAATGCTAGACAACACAGGAGCAATAGGAAGTAATACCTGTTCTTATCCTGCTATACTTTGTGGATTTTTAATGGAAACGTCTCTGTGTAAGGAAAGAGGAGACAAACAGATTAGCAACTTGAGAAAATTTTGATCGTCAAGGTCTCGCTTTCATATGCTTACATAATCACTTCGTTGTTGGTTTCAAGCTAACTGATTTTTCCAAGAAACGAGTGATTTCTGCGTGTTGGGGAGCTATTGCGTGCCAACAGCTATTGCGTGCTAACAGCCAGAAATTGAAGAATTATTTTTGGCGAAGAGCAATTATTAAGGGTCAGCATCCTCACCTGATAACTTCTAGAGACCTCTCCAATTTCAGTTATCATTTAACAACAAACAGTCCCTTTAGTCACCTTCGCAGCTGCTCTGTTAAGGATGTCATGCAAACATTCCCCACCGAGAAAAAGTTGCTTTCCACTGATGAACGTTCCTTATCAGGTATACAGTCACTATAGGCTGATTACAGAGAGCCATAAATATTTGGGGAGCCTCCTGCATCAGTTTCGCCCTTATTGTAGACCACATGTGAAAATATAACTTAATATGTGAATGGCGGTGCCTAAATATCCTTTCACCAAATATTGTCCTAGTACAGATTATCTGAGCTCGATTCGTACTAGAGGCCTTAGTTCAAGTTGAATCACGAGACACCCACTTAGCTCCTATTCCCTCTCGAAGCAAGAAACATCAAATGCTAACTCTGTTCTTCGAAATTGATTTTTGAGACATGTCATCACAAAATGCATCGGAGTACAACTTACCTAGGTTTTAAGCTTACTTTAGAGCCTTCAGCAGGATTTTTATAATCGTTGACTGGATGTCTTAGTATGGTGCGCCTCTTTAGTTTACTTATTTAGCGCCCAGAAGATACCAAACGCGTAAGCAATTTAGAAATAAATGATCTCACAGAGGATTCTTTCTGATATACTTGGATATCTATTCATTTGATACGTTGAGGTCAAAGGATGCCGAAATTCACGTGATCTCGCGACGTATAGATAACCGGTCCAAGTTGTTGTTGTTTTTTTTTTTTTTTAACGACGAAAGGGAAAACACTTAAGGTGATTAGTAATATAAAGATTTAGACAAGCGTAAAAGCGGAGCTCTTGTTAGTTTATTTTCCAGCCCTTCATTATGATAAAAACTCTAATATAACTCTTCAGTACTAGAAGAGTTTCTTTGAGGGGATTTAGGGAGCATTCTGAGGGGTAGGGGTGGGGGGGAGGAGAATTCACAGGGTGCGGAGCCGAGAGACGGTGTTCTCACAACTTGCAAAGGGATCAACACGCATGTTAGTCAGCGGTATTTTCAAGCAGCTGAGGACCTTTCGGTATTTTTCCTGATGTTTTTGAGCAAATTTTCTTCTTCAGATGAAGTGTATGATGTCAGCATCAGTTGAAATTATATTCTAATGAACGTGACTGATAATTTTGGTTTGAGAAACTGAGCCAAAATGGAAAGAAACGGTAAACTACCTCGACTTAAGACATCACCGGTTTATTGAAGAGTATAAGCGTGAGAACGTATGGAAGACGAATCGTATGGGCTTCTATTATATATTTTCTTGAAGTTGCCAGGTATGATTGCTTGCCCCAGCGTTTTTCCCCAACGTTTCAACCTCCTGATAAGCGTAGAAAATTAATTAAAAAGTCACTTTCAACTCGTGTTTTACTTTTTTCTTGTGGGCATGCTTGTTTTCATGATTGCATATCTTCCTCTAGCTGAAAATAGACTGCGTCTGTTTGGGATTTTTTCTGTTATTTATATCAGTAACCTCTGCTGTAACTGCATAGGATGTAGATGTCTTTAAGCCAACTGTCCATGATCTTAGCAGCTCTAGCTACTGAAATACGAAATTTGTCCAACATGCTTCTTGTGCTGCGAAAGTTTGATTAAAGGAAGACAAACTAGAACGAGAATATCATAATTAAAACTTGATGAAGAAGAGAGAGACTTAGGATTCGACCATGAAGTAGTTAGTAGAAAACTTGAGATAGTACCTGGATTTCATTTGTACATTACAGAA